TTCAAAGTGGTTGGCTCTAGGGGCTGGGTGAAAGCCCCTCAGTTTTGGGCTTCAGCTCTGCCTCCAGCTCCCGACCTACTGAAGCTAGAGTCTTTTCTTCACTCAGATAGCTGCTGGCTGCTGAGGCTACCAAGCCCAAGGTTGACAAGTAAAAAGGCACAATCCTGATGTTACCAAACCATGTAGCAGGACATTAATTCAAGTCCCCAGGTCGGCAGAGCATGGCAGGCTGCTGAACAATGATATGGCTACATGCAGGGTCCAAGTGTGCCATAAGCCAGAGAGTATCCCCAAGGCTTCTCCTTATATATGGGAAGCAGACCACATCCCAAAGGCAGCTAGTCAGCTGCTTGTGGTAGATCCCACCATGGATTTGGTTGCCAGTCTCATCATGGGGAATAACTACCACCAGCTGCCCAGCCACTCAACCAGGCCCAGCCCAGGTAACATACAAATTTAAATACCATAAGCAGTCTCTTCAATAAATGGTGCTGGAAAAATGGATTTTCACTTGCAAAAAAATGAAACAGAATCCATGGTTCACACCATACACAAAAACAAATTCAAAATGAATTAAGGACCTAGGTGTGTAAACTTAACCCATAAAATTAGAAGAAAAGGCAGAGACAGTGCTTTGAAGCCTAGCTTTTAACAGTGAATTATTTGACATATTAAGAAAAACATAAATAGAAAAAGAAAAAATAAATAAATGGGACATAATAAAAATTAAAAACTTTTGTTCATGAAAAGACTACCAGGAAGGTGAAAAGACTAGTAGGTAATAACCAAAAACTACATAAAATTTTGACAACTTAACAGCAAAAAGACAACCCAAATCATAAAATGAGCAGAAGACTCAAATAGAGATTTCGCCAAAGAGGATATTCAAATGGCTACCAAATACAGGAAAAGATGCTCAGTGTCATTTTTTTGTTGTTGTTATGTGCTGTCGAGTCGGACTCAACTCATAGAGACTCCTCCTTGGGTTTCTGAGGTGGTATCACTACAGAAGTAGATTGTCCAACCTTCCTTCTGAGGAGTGGCTGGTGGGTTTGAACCTCCAGCCTTCTGGTTAGCAGTCAGGTGCCTTAAGCACTATGCTATCAGAGCTCCTGTCAGTGTCATTAGTCATTAGAAAGATGCAAATCAAAACCACAATAAGATATTTCAATTTCGCTAGGATGGCTAAAATTAAAAAACCAAAACAAAACAAGAGAAAAAATGTTGGCGAGGATGTGGGGAAATTGGGACTCTTATTAGTTGCTGGTGGGAATGCAAAATGGTACAGCTATTGTAGGAAGCAGTGGATTACTTAATAAGTCCCACATAACAACAACAGCCATAGTCTTTGTGACTCCCACTAGATGAATGGGTGGGACTATGCAAATGTGATGTGCTTGAGGTCCACCAAGAGGATTGGATAGTTTGCTAATAATGTAAATAAGGTGCCTGGTACCCTTTTGGGAGTGGGGCTATGCAAATAAGGTGTATAGAGCCCTAACATGAGGCTTGGTCAGTTTTTCCATCCCACTAGCCTTAAAATGAGCCATCTCAGAGGTAGAAAGGGGGATCGCACTTCCATCAAGAAAGAAGAGCCAGGAGTAGAGCATGTCCTTTGGCCCTGTGCTGAGTGAACCTTCCTGATCCAAGAGACAGAAACTTATGATACCAGAAACAATGAGAAGTTAGCAGCAAAGGAGTGACAGCAGTAGAGGCAGAAGAACCAAGAGATTGGCATAAGACAGAGCATTGGGGTACCCAGTCCTCCTTCAGGCTGAGGATAACTGGCTAAGTGGGGTGCCTCTAGGCATTTATCAGCAGAGCTAAAAGAGTTTTCCAACACTTGCCTGAACAGGGCAGAAGTCTGGGCAAGGGGCCAAGGACCAGAGAGAGACCTATCTTTGACACTGCTGAGTAAAGAACTGTATACTGAGTGTTTTCTGATCCTGAATTATAATCTGTTATTTCCCTAATAAACTCCATAATTGTGAGTATTGTTGGTGAGTTCTGTATGGCCATTGCACAAACAGAACCCAGCAGAATAAAGAATGCTGTGGGAGAGATGGTTGGTTTCAGAGTAGGCAGAATGGTTGGAGGGTGGAGGCATGTCTCTACATTGTAGGAATTAGCCTGTGACTGTAGATTCTTCTCCCACCTTATGAAGCGAGAAGAGGTCAGATGCCGCCCGCATGCCATTTTTATATATGGTTCCTCAAAAACACTAAAAGTAGGACTACCATAGGACTCAGGAGCTCTGGTAGTGTAATGCCTAAGGCATTTGACTGCTAACCAAAAGGCTGGTGGTTCAAACCCAACAGCCACTCCTCAGAAGGAAGGTTGGACAATCTACTTCCATAGTGATGCCTCCTCAGAAACCCAAGGAGGGGTTGCTCTGAGTTGGGTCCGACTCAATGGCACATAACAGCAACAACAACAACACATGACCCAGTAATTCCACTCCTAGGTATGTACTCAAAATACTTGAAAGCAAAGGCTTGCATTCCATTGGTCATTGTGGTACAACTCACATTAGCCAAAAGGTGGAACAACTTAAATGCCCATCAAAAGATAATGGATAAACAAAATGTACATACATACAATGGAATACTACTTAGCTAGTAGCTCTGGTGGCATAGTGTCTAAGGCATTTGATTGCTAACCAGAAAGCTGGTGGTTCATACCCACCAGCCCCTCCTCAGAAGGAAGATGGGGCAATCTACTTCTGTAACGATACTGCCTTGGAAACACAATAGGGGGTTGCTATGAGTCAGGTCCAACGCAACAGCACATAACAACAACAACAAGAGAAGTTGTGGTACATGCTACAGTATGGATGGAGTTTGAAGTCATAATGCTGAGTGAAATAAGTTAGTCATAAAAGGACAAATAATACATGACTTCACTTACATAAAAAGATAAGAAAAGGCAAATGCAGAGACCAGAAAAAACCAGGTTGGGAGGGAGAAGGAAAGGGTAAATGGAAGGTGATTAACAGTGATAGAATATCATATTGATTAAGGGTAGGGCTGCACAGCTGCTTATGGTAATTGCTGTCATTAAAAGTTATATACTAGGCATGTTTATAACAATGGGGGAGGGGTATTGCTGCAGCTGCTTATGTGCAGCCAAAATACTCATGGAGTTTGGTTTCTTAGTTGGGAGGTTTAGAGTCATGGCTTCATGGGACATCCCATTTAATTGGCCTAATAGCAAGTATAGTGCTTTGTTGTACTTTTAGTTCCTTGCGGAGTGCCTGGGATCTTAAAAGCTTGCAAGTGACCATCTAAGGCTCAATAATGTGTCTCTATTTGCCTGGTGGCAAATAGTGGAAAGAGTGTCAGGAATACAAGGAGGATATGGGATATGTGGCTTTTTGCTTCTGAAAAGCTGCCTCCTTTTCCATGAGACCAGAAGAACTAGACTGTGTATGGCTCCCATTACTGAACATTTTGATAAAGTTTCCCTAGAAGAATCCTGATCAGAAGGGAGAAAATGCAGAACAGAATTTAAAGTTCTTATGGACTTCAGACTTCATGGAGCCATGAAGATTCGATGAACTCCAGAAACTGTTGTACTGAGGTAATATTTATACCTCAAACCAAAATTATTCCCTGAAGTCTTAAAACCAAATAGTAGTTTAGCTTAACTAGCAAAAAATGTCTGTCTTGAGTATTATGCTTTTCTAAGAATTATAAAGGATCAAATTGACAACAGCAACTTGAAAGAATAGATAGGCACCTTAGGGAAGGAACATCTCAGAAAAGGAGTGTGAGAAATGGTTCATGTGGAAACTATTGAACAATAAAATTTTAAAAAGTTACTAGAAGAAAAATTTTAAGGCTAGAGACATGGATTACTTCTAATTTTAAACAGAAGTCCAGTATGTTAATCAGGTAAGTATATCTTCTCTGATTGAAGGTGAAGATTCTTATTTTCTCAGCCTCTTCTTCCTCATACAGTCTTCCCTCCCTTCCCATTGAGGCACTGCCAAAGGAGGACAGTTTTAGAACCATTAATCTAGTCCAGTAGTTTTTACTTCTTTTTTGTTTACAACTCTTCTGCCTCCTCTGCCCCCCGCCCCAAACACAGAAATACAAGAATGTGGTTATGTCCGTACTTTTAGCATCTGTTCATTTAAATAAATATTACCACAGTCCAGTTTTCACAAGGTTGAAAAATCATTATATTTATATGCAGGACATTTTTTAATTTACAGCTTAGTATACATATGTGTTGTTGTTAGGTGTTGTCGAGTCGTCTCCGACTCATAGTGACCCTATGCACAGCAGAACAAAACACTGACCGGTCCTGTGCCAGCCTCACGATCTTTGCTATACCTGAGCCCATCATTGAAGCCACTGTGTCTATCCATCTCATTGAGGGCCTTCCCCTTCTTCGTTGACCCTCCATTTTACCGGCATGATATCCTCCTCCAGAAAATGGTTCCTTCTGACAATATAACTGAAGTAGGTAAGGTGAAGTCTGGCCATTTTTGCTTCCAAGGAGCATTCTTTCTGCACTTCCTCCAGGGCAGATTTGTTAGTCCTTTTTAGCAGACCATGGTATTAGCATTCTTCTCCAACATGACAGCTCAAAAGCATCTACTCTTCTTTGGTCTTCTTTCTTTATTGTCTAGTATATATGTATATATGTGTAGAGAGAGAGAGAGATTCATGGACTCTGGAGTAAATCCATATGTGGTTCCTGGTCATGTACTTCTAATAGATTGAAGACCACTGATGTATTCATTTAATAGATGAAGAAACTTAGGTTCAGATATGTGAAGAATCTTTTCCATAGTTGAATCTTTTTCCATAGTTGGGTTAATGACAGAGCGAGCTAGTAGAACTAGAATCTCAGATCTTGTAACTCCCTGCCTAATGTTTTCATGTCTTTTATTGCCTGAATATTTCTGAGTTTTTGCCTTTGAAATAAGGTTTGGTGAAATGGAGGTCTGATAACGGAAATTAAAAATCTGAATCCAGATTTGTTATTTCTAGGTCTTTGAAGAAACTGGTTTTGATATCAAAGACTACATTTGTAAGGATGATTACATTGAACTTCGAATCAATGACCAGCTTGCCCGTTTGTACATCATTCCAGGAGTTCCAAAAGACACAAAATTTAACCCAAAAACTAGAAGAGAAATTCGGGTATGCAATTATTAAAAGTATTTGCAATTTTGCTAAACAGTAGCTTGAATAAGATAGGAAATTGTTTTTAGAAATTTCTTCTATTAATTAAGAGAAGTTTTTCTTCTGTGTTACAGAACATTGAGTGGTTCTCCATTGAGAAATTGCCCTGTCATAGAAATGATATGACCCCGAAATCCAAACTTGGTTTGGCACCTAACAAATTTTTTATGGCCATTCCATTTATCAGGTATATTCATATTTTTTTTGTAATACAAAACTAACCATGAGTTTGATAATCAGTTTCTTCATATAGCCAAATCTTAAAAATGACTCCTTAATATTTCCAGACCATTAAGAGACTGGCTTTCTCGAAGATTTGGAGATTCCTCAGACAGTGACAATGGATTTTCCTCAGCTGGCAGCACACCAGCTAAACCCACTGTGGAAAAATTAAGGTAAAGAAATATGTTCATAGCATTCTGATTTTCTGATAGTTATTAATACAATAGCATTTTGCATCCAAGGTTTGCAGAAGTGTAGGATTCCTTTGTATAAATACTGTTTGGTTACTGGTCAAACAGATAATAGGAGCTTCAGACACATTTTAAAATCATACTTAAGAGAGTTGCAGTTTTTTTAGATGGATAGATAGAACATTAGAAAAAAAGAAAAAGTCATCTGTATTTGTGTTTTAACATTGTTACTTCGCTGTTTTCATATCCTGTTTGAGAGTTAATTGAGTTTCTATAGAGGATAGAATATGGATATATTGAGGTCTGATATTGTATAGGGGAGATGAGTAGTGCCAATGTATAATTTGTTAAAGTCAGAATGATAAATCTGTAAAGCCTTTGGCTTATTTTTGTTTTCCTTTACTTTTCCCAGCACGTTGTGTGCATTATTGTTGTTAGCTGCCATTGAGTTGGCCCTGGACTCATGGTGACCCCATGTACAATGAAATGAAATGCTGTCTGGTCCTGCACATCCCCATAATTGGTTGCAGATTGGACCATTGTGATTATAGGGTTTTCATTGGTTGATTTTTTGGAAGTAAATCTCTAGGACTCTTCCTAATTCATCTTAGTTTGGAAGCTCTACTTCCAAATCATAGGATCAGCATCATAGCAGCATGCAGTCCTCAGCTAACAGGTGATGGCTGTACATGGCTGAGAAATAAACCTGGTCTCCTGAATGGAAAGGAAGACTTCTACCACTGAGCCACGACTGCTCCATGTGTGCATTATAAATAGGGACTATTACATGAGCATGAACCACAAAGAATATTTTTTTCATTGGAACTTAATTGTATCCAAGTCACAATTCAGTAGCAGGCTGGGAAAATAACATTATTAAATAAAAGTGTATTTTTGTAATAAGCTTACTAAAACTTTGCCTATAATAAGTTCACAAAGAGTTGCTTTTTCATTTTCTCTAATTTGGATGTGTGTTTTTATCCTGGAGCTTTAAAATTTAAATAATAGGAGTAAGCCACAACTATAGTCTATACTTTTTTAAATGGGTAGCATTCCATTGTAGTCAGGTTTTATGAGGACAGGATCTTAGATTAAATGCTTTGAGAGACATTTCTGCCTCTCAGAATCTAGAATTATAATCACCATATTATATACTACTAAATATAAGTGAAACAGCATATAAAAAGTAAAGTAGATAGGAATGCAGCCAATATTAAAAAGAAACAAAGATGCTACTAAAAAGTTATAAAATACTGACACAGCATTTTGGGGGGAAATTGGATGAATGTTCATGTTTGGTAGCATTTATGTCCCCTAATGTGTGGTGTGGATCTTAGGGTTTGTAGTCTTGGTAGGTAAAATAAAGAGATAATAAAGTGACTTTTTTACCCAGATTTCTACTTTCTTATATAGAGTGGTGGTTTTGTTTGTTTGTTTATTTTTAGCATGTAGGCTCATATCTGTAGTGATGTGTTGGAAGGAATCTGAATTTTATCTAAAGAAAAGGTAGACAACAATTTTATTATAGTTTTTCAATAGGAAAGGGAAAGAATTCAAATATTCTGTACCAGTCTTTATATAATATGGTTCTTGGATCAGCGAGCCAAGGCTATATTATACACATAAGTGGTACTGTGTAATGAGATTTCTTACCTTATGTAACAAAGTATTACACTAGTACAACCTTTGAGATTGTGACTCTTGCATAAGAATTTTAGACCAGATCTTTATTTTGTTTTCTCATGCCATTGTCATGGGACCCTTAATTTTTTGGTTCAGATATAACATCATTTCTCAGATTCAGTATGGATAGGATCCATAGCTGACCTGTACAGTATCAAATTCCATACTTAAAACATCCTAAGAACAGTACTAATTATCTGTTCCATTAAGAAAGCAGCTCTAGTGGTGCAGTGGGTAAGGTCGATGGTTCTAGCCCATTAGCTGCTCTGCAGGAGGAAAATGAGGCAGTGTACTTCCATAAGATTTACAGCCTTAGCAACTGTATGATAGTGGGTTTTTTTTTTTTTTTTGGTTCCATTAAGAGGGAAAATCTTCCTACATTTATTTGTTTCAACTAAACTTTTTTAAAACTTACTTTCTTCAGATTTGTAAAGTGTGATCATTTATAGGGAGGAGGTAGTATGGATAATTTAGAAAAGCCAATAGGGGTTTTAAAGGTTATTAATTCATTCAACAGATACAGAATCCAGGCTGTCTTTTGGGTATGAGTGATGAAACAGTAGACAAAGAACCAGTACCAGTCCCTCATGTAACTTACATTCCTGTGGGAGGTGACAGACAATAAATAAGACAATAAAATAGTATGTAACATAAGCTCTGAAGGTGTTAGAAGACATATAAATGAAATTTTTTTGTGATCTCATTTTTATATTTTAAATCTTGGTACAGTCGAACCAAATTCCGCCACAGCCAGCAGTTATTTCCTGAAGGTTCTCCTGGTGACCAGTGGGTAAAGCATAGACAGCCACTGCAACAAAAGCCATATAATAATCATTCTGAAATGTCTGACCTCTTAAAAGCAAAGGTGAGTAATACACTTTTAAAAAATTTTAGACTTCGAAATCATTTGGCAGATGATTTGAGGAATTCCCGTATCTTTGGCTCTGGAAGCAAATTAATAGTTTATAGAGTTCTGAATTGTTGATCAGAGGCTCCTGTTTCTCCTGACTTGTGATTTGAAGCAGGGCTGAAATTCTTTAACATCTATAGTTTTTGTATAAATCCAGTGTAGTAAATAATAGGAATAAACATCCAATTTTGGTAAATAAGCTGCCAGTGGAAAAATTCATTTAGAAACAGAGAAGCAAAAGAATTATTATCCTCCAAATTAAGATGTATTGGCTTTTATAGGGAAGAAATGTAAGTGTATTGTAAAATTTTGCTTTCATTCTGCTTTTCTCAGTATCCTTTTTAAAAGAAGAGAAAATAAAAAAGAAGGATGGCACCCAATAGAATGGCTAAAATAAAAAAGATAATACCAAGAATTAGTAGGAATATGGTGCAACTTGAGTTCTCATGTATTTTTATGGGAATATAAATGGTAGAATTATTTGAGAAAATTGTTTGTAGTATACATATATATGGAGCTCTGGTAGCGTAGTGCCTAAGGCACTTGACTGCTAACCAGAAGGCTGGCGGTTCAAACCCATTAGCCACTCCTCGGAAGGAAGGTTGGGCAATCTACTTCCTTAGTGATACTGCCTCTGAAACCCAAGGAGGGGTCGCTATGAGTCGGGTCCAACTCGATGGCACATAACAACAACAACAACAGTATATATATATATACCGAAGAGCATAGATAGATCCAGTGGTCTAACAGTTCTGGTCTTAGGTATGTATGTTCATCAAAGGCATAGACAGAAATGTTTGTAGCAGCACTTTTTGTAAAGCCTCAAACTGGAAGCCAACAAAATGTTAACAGTGGAATGCATAAGTTAATTATGATAAAAATCACACACTGGAATACTATACAGTAATGTGAATGAATAAATTATTGTGACAAACAACATTGATATTTGTCTTGCAAATATGTTGTTGTTAACTGCTGTCAAGTTGACTCCAATTCACGGCAAGTTTATGTACAACAGAACAAAAATTTTGTTCATTCCTGTGTCATCCTTAAGATCACTGGAATGTTTGAGTCCATTTTTTTGGTTATTATGCCAATCCATTTCATCAAGGGTTTCTCATTCCCTCCTTGGCCCTGTACTTCACTGAACATGATGTCCTTTTCTTTTGATTGTACCCTCTCCAGATGACGTGTCTAAAGCTAGCAAGTTTTTCATGGGTAATTTTCAAAAGTGGATCAATCGCCTAGGCTTTCCTCCTAGTCTGTCTTAGACTAGAAACCCCGCTGAAACCTATCCCCACCATAGGTGACCCTGCTCTTATCTGAAATACCAATATCATAGCAACATACAAGGCACCACAGTATGACAAACTATCAGACCAGTGATGGTCTCTCAAATATAATGGCCAGCAAAAGAGCCCAGAACAAAAAGCACCAAAAGTTGTTGTAGTTAGGTGCCATTGAGTCAGCAACTCTCTGTACAACAGAATGAAACTCGGTCCTGCACCATCCTCATAATCCTGGCTGTACTTGGACCCTCATTGCAGCTGCTGTGTCAGTCCATCTGGTTCAGGGTCTTCCCCTTCTTCACTGACCCTCTGCTTTACCAAGCATGATATCTTCTTCTCCAGAGATTGGTCCTTTCTGACAACATGACCAAGGTAGGTGAGACAAAGTCTGGCCATTCTTGTATCCAAGGAGCATTCTGGCTGCACTTCTTCCATGACAGATTTGTTTGTCCTTCTGGCAGTTCATGGTATTTTCAGTATTCTTCGAAAACACCACAATTCTTCTCCAGTCTTCCTTATTCATTGTCCAGCTTTCACATGCATATGAGGTGAGTGAAAGTACCATGGCTTGGGTTGTTGTTGTTATGTGCCGTTGAGTCAAACCTGACTCATAGCGACCCCTCCTTGGGTTTCCGAGGCAGTATCACTACAGAAGTAGGATTGCCCAACCTTCCTTCCAAGGAGTGGCTGGTGGGTTTGAACCGCCAGCCGTCTGGTTAGCAGGCAAGTGTCTTAGCCACTATGCTACCAGAGTTAGGTGCACCTTAATCTTCAAAGTGACATTTTTTTCTTCTTAACACTTTAAAGAGGTCTTTTGCAGCATATTTTCCCAGTGGCATATGATGTCTGGTTTCCTGACTGCTGTTTCCATGGGTGTTGACTGTGGATCCAAGTAAATTGAAATCCCAGACAACTTCAAACTTTTCTTCGTTTATCATGATATTGCTTATTGTTTTCTTTATGTTGAGGTGTAATCTGTATTGAAGATTGTAGGCTTTGATTTTCATCAGTAAGTGCTTCAAGTCATATTCATTTTTAACAAGCAGGATTGTGTCATCTGCTTATCACAGTATGTTAATTGTTCTTCCTTCAATCCTAATGCTGTGATCTTCTTCATATTGTCCAGCTTCTTAGATTATTTGCTCAGCATACAGAATGAATAAGTATGGTGAAAGTATACAACCCTGACGTGTACACCCGTCCTGATTTTAAACCATGCAGTATTCCCTAGTTCTGTTTGAATGAACACCTCCTGGTCTGTGTACAGGTTCCTCATGAGAACAATGAAAAGTTCCGGAATTTCCATTCTTTGCAATGTTATCTATAATTTATTATAATCCACACAGCCAAATGCCTTTGCATAGTCAATAAAACACAGTAGACATGTTACTGGTATTTTTTGCTTTTAGCTGAGATCCGTCGAACATCAGCAATAATATCCCTTATTCCATGTCCTCTTCTGAATCCGGCTTGCATTTCTAGAATTTCCCTTTCAGTATACTGCTGCAGTTGTTTTTGAATTATCTTCAGCAAGATTTTACTTGCGTTTGATATTAATGGTATTATTGTTCAGTAATTTCCACATTCTGGGGGATCACCTTTCTTTGGAACAAGGACAGATACATGGATCTCTTCAGTCAGTTGTCCAGGTAGCTGTCTTCCAAACTTCTTGGCATAAATCAGTAAGTGCCTCCAGTGCTGCATTCATTTATTGAAATATGTCAGTGGGTATTCTGTCAATTACTGGAGACTTGTTTTTCACCAGTTCCTTCAGTGCAGCCTCTACTTCTTCAGCACCATTGGTTCTTGATCATGCTGTCTTCTGAAATAGTTGGACATCAACCAATTCTTTTTGATAAAATGACTCTGTATTTGTTCCTTCCTTTAATGCTTCCTGCATAGTTTTATATTTTGCCAACAAATCCTTCAGTATTGGAACTTGAGGCTTGATTTTTTCTTCAGTTCTTTCAGCTTGATAAATGCCAAGCATGTTCTTCCCTTTTGGTTTACTAACTCCAGATCTTTGCATATTTTGTTATAATACTTTACTTTGTCCTCTCGAGGTGCTGTTTGAAATCTTCTCTTCGGTTCTTTCACTTTACCATTTCTTCTATTTGCTTTAGCTACTCTCTGTTCAAGAGCACATTTCAGAGTCTCTTCTGACATCCATTTTGATCTTTTCTTCCTTTCCTGTTTCTTTAATGACAGTTTGCATTCTTCGTGGATGGATGTTCTTGATGTCATCCCACAACTCATCTGGTTTTTGGTCCTTGGTGTTCAGTGCATCAAATCTATTCTTCACATGGTCTCTAAATTCATGTGAGATACAATCAAGGTCGTATTTTGGCTCTCATGGACTTAAATTTTTTTTTGTTTGCTTCAACTTGAACCTACATATGAGTAGTCAGTGGTCTGTTCCATGATCAGTCTTATTTTGACTGATGATATTGAGCTTCTCCATCACCTCTTTTCACAGATGTATTAGTCTAATTTTTTTATCTGGTGAGGTCCATGTGTATAGCCACAGTTTATGCTGTTGAAAACAGGTACTTGGAATGAATATACTGTTGGTCTGGCAAACTTCTGTCATGTGGTCTCCTGTGTTATTTCTGTCACCAAGGCCATATTTTCTGTTTTGTTTTTTGAAATGAAAAATTATTTATTGAATTGATGCCATTCCCTAATTAATTAATTAATTAATGCGGTGTTTCCTCCCCTCCCCTCTCACCCATGGTAACCAACCACTTTTTCTGATTGATCCCTTTCCAAAGAAGTGTCAAGGTATTTGTCTTTAATCTCACTGATTCTGTCTTCCTTTGTTTCGATTCTACTCCTTTGCCCATTCAATGTGTTATCTATTTCAGAAAATTTAGTATTGATTTTCTTCATTCTACCTGTAGATTTTGTATCATTTCTAATTTTTCATTTATTTTGTCATTTTATTCTTGTATTTTCTTTTGAAATTGTTCTCAGGTTTTCTCTGTGTTTTCCTCAGTTTTGTCAGTGTTTTTCTTGATCTTTCTTTCAATCTGTTGAAGGACCTAAATATAATTCTTTTGAATTCCTTATCATGGAGTTCCAATGCTGCTGCTTCCTTAGGGATTTGTTCTGGGTCTGTATCCTGGTCCCTTGTTTCTACTGCTTTATCTTGCTTCTTTGTGTGGACCATGATAGTCAGTTGTCTCTGAGACGCTGTGATGTTTTTGTGTTTATATTTAATTAGTGATTATATATTGGCTTGACTTGCCCGTGATTTTTGTTTTCTTTGGATGTTATCTACGTAAGCAGGGTACTGTGCTCCTCTGTTCACTTGTTGGCAGCACTTATACACTCACCATTGTCTCCTTTCCTGTTGTCAGCCCCCCGTATCCCTGCTGTCCATGGGAAGTGGAGCTTGTTCTTAGGTCCCTGGAATCTGAATGAGAATGCTGTCACTTTAAATACCCAAAATGGCCATTACTGGTAAATATTCAAAATGGCTGCACCCTCCAGACAGCCGAAAGGCCATAGCTCAGGTTGTCTCCCTCCTTGCTGTTCCCGTTCCTAGTCATAGACTACCAGTGCAGTTGTCCCTGTGGCCCTTGGTGACTGGGGCTGATCTTCAGGTCAGTTCTCAGGTCCCAGCACTACTTGGAAATGTTCAGGCTTTTGGTGCTGTCAGAGTAG